ACAGCTCCACTTTTGGTTTTTAAGTGGCTAACTAGAGATAAAAGTCTCATGGGAACTTCTCTGCCCAGATATGATCCTCAGATTTCAACCTCCTGAATAGCTAGGATTACAGGAGTGAGCCACTGGTGCCCAGCTTTTTTTTTTTTTTGTCTGGTCGTGGGGCCTAAACTCTGGGCTTGGGCGCTGTCCCTCAGCTCTTCAGCTCAAGGCTAGCGCTCTACCACTTGAGCCACAGTACCACTTCCAGCTTTTTTCTTTTTGCTTATGTGGTGCTGAGGAATAGAACCCAGGGCCTCATGCATGCAAGGCAAGCACTCTACCACTGAGCCACCTTCCTAGCCCCAAGTGCCCAGCTTTTAAAATCTATTTTAAATTAAAACAAAGTTTATGGAGAGAGTAAGTATGGCTTAGGACAGCTATACTGTTACTTCACCTCCAAATAGGGATAGTGGTACCTGTGTCATGCACTGGAAGTTTAATATAGTGTTTAAGAACATAGACTGGGTGGGACAGACCTGAGTTCAAATCCTAGCTCTTGCCATATACCTTCTTTTGGATTGGGTTTTGGTTTTGGTGTCAGGATCTTGCTGTGTCCCAGGTTGTTCTTGAACTCTGGATATTCCTGCCTTATTTTCAGTTCATGGTTATCAGCATGCATTGCTATGGTTGGCTAGCTTTTTGCTTTATATACTTAAGTTTCCATTTCCTCATGCCTAATGGTAAGATGATGGGAACACTGTCAACTTAATCTAGTGAGCATGACTGAGTTCTAGGCTCAGTACAGGAAGCGCTCTATAAACAGCAGCTGTGTGGTATTCAGCCTGCAGTTGTAGAGTTGTTGTTTTTTTTCTTCTTTTGTGTGGTAGTAATTGGGATTGAATTCAGGACCTGCGTGTTGTCCCTTAAGATTTTTCACTCAAGGCTGGTGCTCTCCTACTTGAGACACAGCTTCACTTCTGGTGGTTAAATAGCGATAAGAGTTTCATGGATTTTCCTGTTCGGGCTGGCTTGGAATGGTGATCCTCAGATCTCAGCCTCCTGAGTAGCTAGAATTACATGCCTGAACTACCATTACTTGGCTAAGCTGTAATTTTAAAAGACTTTTGTTGTTGTTGTTGTTGTTGGTTGTGGTACTTAAACTCAGGACCTGGGCGCTGTCCCTTAGCTCTTTTGTTCAAGTCTAGCACTGTACCACTTTGAGCCATAGCGCCACTTCAATTTTTGAGTAGTTAATTGGAGGTTAAGAGTCTCACAGACTTTCCTTGCCTGGGCTAGCTTTGAACTGCAATCCTCAGATCTCAGCCTCCTGAGTAGTTAGGATTACAGGCATGAGCTACTGGCACCTGGCTCTGAGCTTCTTTTTTGGTCAAGGCTAGCTAGCACTCTACCACTTGAGCCATAGCACCACTTTCAGCTTTTTCTGTGTATGTAGTACTGAGGAATTGAATCCAGGGCTTCATGCATGCTAGGGAAGCAATCTACCACTAAGCCACATTCCCAGCTCCAATTTGTAATTTTAATAAATGTGATTTCCTTCCTTCTTTTTACTCCTCAAAATGAGAGGCTCTGAAGAAGGAACAGGTGGAAAGGGAGGTAGCAGAAATAAAAAGAGGGAAATAGGAGAGCAAAGAAATACGAGTCAAAAGATCTCTCCCTGGAAGACCTTTCCTGTCCCCTCGGGGCCTACAGGACCCCAGGCCTTCTGCTATGTTCTTGCAGCCTCCATATCCCAGGCTGGCAAGACCTCAGCCCTATCCCCACTCTGCCCCAGAATGCAAGACTTGGATATCTTTCTTCTTTCCCAGCACAGGATGGGGAAAGATAGGATTGGGTGCTCGGATTTAGAGTCCTCTTTCTGGCATTGCCAGACTCTACTGCACTGTGATCTGGGAAAGGATGGTGGAACAAATGCCATAATCACTTATAAGGCAACAGAGGAAATCCTGACACTCTATCTTACACTTTTACCTTCTGTGGCCATCACTGGGTTTCATGAAGAAATGGCCACTTGGCAATGTGCTTATGCTTTGAGGTCTTCCTTGCGTGTTGTCAGGTAAGCATGGATGGGAATGGATGAAGGGTAACCTAAGGTATATGCACCTTTTCCCCCCTAAGTGTGACAGGAAAATGTAGAGCCTCTGAGCTCAGAGAAACTTAGGTCTGGACAGGAAGGTGGCTCAGGGGCATTTAGGCCTTTTCTTTGCAGAATCCCTTCTACTGGCCTTAGCTTGGTATAATCCTCCAGCTGACAGGCTGAAAACTAGAGCTCCTAGAGGGACGGAGGCAGCCCTGAGAGTTACTTTGAAGGGAAATGATGTTCAGAGGGAGGTGCTGACTGTGGCTTGCGGGGACTCAGCCTGGCTGAGACCTCATAAGTATTCCATTCCTGGTTGAAGGCCCTAGAGGTAGGAGATAAGAAGCCTAAACATTCTGACTCCTCCCTATATTCTTTGGTTATAGTGAGAACACTTAAGATACTTCCACTATCTGTGCAAGGGTGTGTGTGTGTGTGTGTGTGTGTGTGTGTAAGAGAGAGAGAGAGAGACAGAGAGAAAGACAGAGACACAGAGACACAGAGACAGAGACACAGAGACAGAGAGACAGGGTCTTGCAGATGGAGCCCAGGTGACCTCACACTCACAATCCTCCTGCATGCTGTCTATGGAGCCTTGATCCCTTCTCTTCCCATCCTTCAGTCAAGGCCATGGTTTTAAGAAGGCTCAACTCTGTAGAAAGGATTCTGCTGGTTTTTAAGCCAAGGAGTTGAAGGAGGGTGTGAGAAGGGGAGAGGTTCTTGGAGACTTGACCTGGGAAATGGGTTGGGGGGAGCCAGGGGAGAGAGAAGAGAGGAGGAAGAAAGCCACACACCAATGGGGGGAGGGGTACAATAGCTGAGTGGACGGCATGCCACAGCTGGAGGGGATTAAGGACATCACTGATGGAAGGGGAGGGGGCCGCCAGGGCATTCTGGAACAGGTAGCTGCCTGGAATCTTCAGGTGGAGCCTGCTAGGTGTCAATGAGGGGAGGGGGAGGAGGAAGGCAGCGAGCACAGCGGGCCTTGCCCTTCTCTCCTTCCTCAGAGTGGGCCACAACTCTCCCATCGGTCCCTCATCCCTGTCTTAAGGGTGAGAGAAGGTTCTCTCGCTCGCTGTCCTTTAGGTCTGTCCCCAGGCACCCCCACCCCCACGCGTCCATCACAACTCTGGAGGCCCTTCGTCTCCGAGCTGGGCCGCGGCATCCCTCAGCTCGGTTCTCCTCCCCATCTCCAGGCGTCGGGTCCAGATCCCCAGCTCCTCCATCCGCACAGCCTCAGCATCCCCGCGCACCTCCTCCCCCGCACCACGCCACCTCTGCCTCCCGACCCTCCCAGGCCGGCCCGGATCCCGGGACCCGAACCCATCCCTGCCCCCCACCCCCCCCCACAACTCGGCCAGGCTCTCACCTCGGGGGCTCCGCGGCCGCAGCACAAAAGGCGGCGCTGCTGCAGCTCCGCTCCGGATGCTGCTCCCGCCTCCTCCTCCTCCTTCTCCTCCTCCTTCCCTCCTCCCCGCGCTGCCCTCCGCCGGACCCGGGGCGCCGTCACAGGCGAGGCTCGCGCGGTGGGCAGGTGCACGGGTGTCAGCCCCAGCCTCCTGCCCCCACCCCCGACTTCTAGCCCCGTCCCCACTCGGCTTGAACTCCCGCTCCTACCGAGGCCCCCGCCCCAGGCCCCCCGGGACGGACACGCCCTGAGCGGGGGATGCTGCGCTGGAGCCGCCGGCCTCTTAAAGGAGCCTGCTGCTGCCATCCGGCGTGATCCAGGCAGGTCCCTGGCCCGCCCGGGCCCCGCGCCTCGTCGCGGACCTAGGGCGGTACCACTTTGGGTCTTATGCAGATTCTGCAGGAAGCCTCTATGACCCGCCTTGGAGACTCCTTCCTAGACCCCGAAGAGTGCAGCCCCTCAGATATGTCGTCCTCGCTCTCTGTCATCCCCTCCCCCTGTCATACCGATCCTGCCAGCTCTGCTTCCCCGGATTGTCACCGCTCCAATTTCACCCAATTGCAATCAGCTGAGCTCTAGGCGCCACCCCCCTCTAGTGTTCCTGGATGACCCCTCCTTATCATTCCAAGATTCCTCTAGACCGCCATTCCCCGCCCCTTTATAGCAGGACATCTCAGGCCCATTCTCAAAAAACACTCACTGGGATCACGTTTAGTTCTCTTCCTCTTCCTCTTCCCCAAGGTCACAAGAGTCCCTCTACATCTTTCAACCCAGTGCTTGTGAGACACTGGGGGATGGAACAGGGGCGTGGGGTTCGAAAGTGTATATTCTGTCCTACACCTAGATTAAATCTTTTTTTTTTGTTGTTCCCCAGCTAACACTCAAGACTCACAGAAGAGGGAACGATGATGCCTCAGCCCTAATTTTGATGTTCCACTACGGCCTGATTCCCAGACCCCAGAACATGACCAGTAAAAGAGAGATTCTGTAAGAACCTATCTAAAAGGCTTTTAGAGGGGAAGCAAATCTCGACAGGCTGAATGCACAGTTAAGGGAAAGGAAGTTGTGGCAAAGGTTCTGTGACACTGACAGCTGGGGTCACAGGTTGGAGGGCTTGGAAGAGAATGTTTCGAGATCAGTTTAAACCTCTAACAGCCCCAGCGCCCTGAGGTTGGGGAGCACAGAACCCCCTTTAGCGTCCTGGTAAAGGTCCACCCTCTCATACACCAGGATTTGCCAGTAGCTTTCGGAGCCAATCACAACCTTTTCTCAAGGAGGAGGCAGGAAATGGGGCGGGGCCACTCCCCGTTTCCCCGCCTCCTTTTCTAAACAACCAATCTTAACGCGTCTAGAGGAGGGGGGGCTAAACGCAATCAGAATAGCCAATGACACCGTGAAGCGTCCTGAGCGCTGTGGCTCCGCCCCGTCAGCTGCGAATGTGAGGGCGCAAAAGCTTCTGGGTTCTGTAGTTTTGACGGGATTCAGAAGGCTCCAGTCTCGAATTCAGCCCTTACTGCGCCGTCCCCGGGCTGCTTCTAGTTCGCTAGTACGCATGTTCAGAGTCTCAGCCCCGGGGGAGAGGCAGTAGGAAGGAAAAAGGTGGGGCCACATTACAAACAAAACGAAACAAAAACTACTGGCAGCGCAGGCCGGCAGCATCCACGGAGGGAGCCGCTCCTCCCAGAAGGCGGTGCAGCCGCCAGGACGAGCCCCGCAGAGGGTTGTGGGGCGGGTAGCTCCCCTCCACAAGGAGGCTCGCGGAGTGGGGTGGGCGGGGGACTCCATGTCCCAGCATGCCCCGCGCTGGGCCCGACCGGCCGCGACTCCGGGCTTGGCCCCGGCCCTAGCTCATCGGCGGTGACTGGGGCGCGTGGAGGCTGCAGTCACGGTGGCGCCCGCGGGGACGGAGGAGGGAATGAGTGAAGAGGAGCAGGGCTCCGGCACGACCACGGGCTGCGGGCTGCCCAGGTGAGCCGCCCCGTCCCGATCTCTGCCAGGGCGGAAAGCGTGGGGGCGGTGCAGCGGGGTAGCGGCGCGGCCCCAGCATGCACCTGGCCTGAGGGTTGTTCCCGGCAAGCACTGGGGTAGTGGGCAGCGGTTCCCGGCATGCACCGGGCCAGTGGCCATCGCCTCCAGCTCTAAATAGTTTGGGTTGGCTCGGTTCCCAGGTTGCACTGGAGTACTGGGCTTTATGCCCCCCCTATCCAGTGCATTTGGTGGGTACTGGGTTCCTGGTTTGCACTGTGCCAGGGAGCATGCACTTCCAACCAGCACTGGGGCACAGGGTTTCTCTCACCTTAACTGAGACAGGAAACAATACATTACCCACTTGGGGTGTGTGTGTGTGTGTGTGTGTGTGTGTGTGTGTGTGTGTGTGTGTGTGTGTGTGTGT